ATTTGCACGGGAAGACCAAAGAAATTCAACTATGAGCCCAAATATTAGGTGACCTGAAAAATTATTAAAACAGAAAAAAGAAACAGTTTGTACTTCGTGATTCTATTTGATTCTGTTTCTATTGTGGACACACACACATGTACACACATGCGAAGCCATGAGCACTAAGGAGTTAGTAACGGGGAACTCATCTTGGTAAAAACATGAGACTTGTTGGAGATTTACTACTCTGTGATCTTCTCATTTTCTACAGTGCACCTCTGTCCCTTCTGTGATGACAAATGGGAGATCTGCAGAGGTGCACTGTGGAGATTTACTGTCTGCTTGTTGTGTGTATTCTCCTCCCTACCTCCCCCATGAGGATAGGACATTTTCCTTACCCTCTTTAAGATGGGAAGAAATTTAGTCTGAGAATTTAAGTCACCTGCTGGAGGTCACCCACCAAAGCATGAAGTGGAGTGAGACCTGCACCAGGGTTTCTGAGTAAACATTGCGTGGGCTCCTGGAAGGGCTGCGTCAAGTGGATCAGAAAAGGGAAGGGGAGGCTGGGGAGTGAAAGCATTTAGACAAGCAATTGTGCAATTTTAAATAGAAAAGACCCAAGAGTAAGGCGCAGCTTTACATGCAGTATTTCCAGGAATGTGTGTGTTTTGCAGCGCTGTCCTGAATCTTTTATTTCATAGCTCAAGATACGGTCTTGCCAGGAAACTGGAGGGAACCATTTGCTTTAGTCAACTTCACCTCTGACTTCTGAGTTTGCGCCTTAGAGTGAATTAGAGATCTTCACGCCTCCTCCATGTCTCTCCCTGGGAGATGTCGCAAGAATTCTTGAGCATTGTGTTTCGGCTCCTCTGAGGAAGCTCCTGGAGCGTCCTCATGCCTCACCACCGGATCAGTATTCACTGCGATTATTCATCTTTCGCTCCTCCTGTTTCTCAGGGTCCATTGCAGTACCTCCCAGACCTACCGAAGAAGAAAGTCTTCCTTTGCCACTCTCATTAGAGTGAAAGAGGGAAAGCGTTGAGGACGGGAAGGGAGCTGGTTCTTCCTGCTCCCTTCCTCGGAACAATCTTGCCAACAAGGAGTGACCGCATGGCATTCTGGTCGCGCCGCCTGCCCTGGCTCGTGTGAGCCTTGCTCCTGTGCTGGGAAGCGTGTTCCTTCTCCACGTGAGCCTCAGGAGCACGCAACCGTGCTCCCGGGGCCCCAGGTTTGCTGTCCCGAAACTCAGAATTTATCCTGGAACTTTGATTTCATAGGTGGTGTCATCGGACAGCGAAATGTGTGCCAGTAACGTGGGGCCTCTCCTCCATGCCTTGCCATCTCCCTGTCTCTCTTGTTTTGGTTTTACGCTAGGCGAGTGCTGCAGCACTGAGCTACTTCAGCCTTGGGGTCGCAGCCCCGCTCTCCCTCTGATGCCCAGCGCCCAGGGATTCACCCAGCCTCCTCTCTGCTCGACCCGTGAGCACTGCTTCCCTGCGGTAGGCCTGGGTGCAGGGACAGGAGGGTGCACGTGCTCCTTTCAGTCAAGCAGACACAGGAGCAGCTGCCCCCATTCTGGGCTGGTGGAGCTGTAATGGGGTGGACAGAGACAATGTTTGGAGAAAATGAACCTCTTGTTCTCTCTGGCCTGCTCATGACCCAGCGAAGAGGTGGCAGCGCTCTCGGCATACACTATGTCACCTAAAGTGCTGTTTGCCCGGGAGCGCTACACTGCGGCTCTGGGAAGAAAAAACTACTTCCGGGGTCACGCCTGCCTGGGGCGCAGCGCATCAGGCCGGCACTGGGAAAAAGAAACTACTTCCAGGGTCACGCCTGCCTGGGGCCAGCGCATCAGGCCGGCGCTGGCAGGAAGGGCACCCGCTGGCTAGTGTGCTGTGTGTGCCCCCCGGGTTGTAAGATGTGGGCTTCCCGGCCTGCTGGGTGGGTCTGCACCTACCCCGTGGTGTCCCTCTGCCAGAAGAAGTAGGAAATGCAACAGAACTCACTCAGCCACTCATCCATTAGGACAAAGGTACCAGCATCGTGTAAGATATTAACACTAATGGAACCAAGATGTGGGTCTGTGTTATCCCTGCAGCTTCTCTGTCATCTGTCTCAAAGTATTTTAAAATAAGAAGTTTAGAAAAACATATCATGGCAGAGGGAGAACGTAGACGAGAGAGAAAAAAGTCTTCAAACTCTAGAAACAGAAATCTCCCTGCGGACGATTTGCACATTCTGACTGTGAGTCCACCCCTGCTGGAGATGCAGTTCTGCCACTGACCGCCCACTGGCCCTGTGCCGTGCCAGGCTTTGAACTGCGTCGTGGCCATGAAGAATCACTCTTGTGCACTGACCGTCTAACGGCCACGAGGTCCTTGCTGTAATTTCCCCTTTCATGACTTCCCGAGGTGAATGCTCTTATCTTTCACATACAGAGGTAAGAAAGAGATTGAGGTCCAGGATCACACAGCAAGAGCAAGAAAAGAGTCAGTCTTCCCGGCTCGCTCCGAAGCTGGTACATGCGAACCGTTCTGCCAGGGCCTCTGGGGAGGCGCTGGTCCATTCCTCCAAGTACTTCCCGGGTCAGCGCTGGAAGTGGAGCCCCAGCGTGGCAGCCCCCTGAACTGCTCAGGGCTCTCCTAGTATGAATGCGCGGCAGGTGGGTGGACCCCACACCGTGCTTATCTCATTCATATCTGTGCCCCCTGCTTTAGTGACCACACCCAGTGGGGCACAAGGGAAATCCTGGCTGCAGATTAAGAATCTGGGAGGCAGCGAGTCTAATGTCACTTCAAAATGGAGTAACGTTTGCTTTAAAAACTATTGTTGTTGGCCTGAGCAAAAGCAGGTGATGAACGCCTCCATCAGCCAGGCACCCACGTTTCCTACTGGACCAGGCTAGGGGGAAAGAAGAGAGTCACGCAGTGAACTGGCTGTGGTGGCCACAGCCAATTGTTACATCTTTGAAGGGTCCCGTTTTAAAAAATCTCTGTGCTCTGCTTGTATAATTATTGTATTTCCTATGTGAAGCTAGCGTGGAAATGAGATGTCTTTCTTCCTCTTCTTAAGAAGAAATGTGCTATGACATCCCACAGTCCTTAGCTTGTCTGCTGATTCCCAGGCTCTGAGCAAACTGTGTATTCCTTGCTGTCCAGGGCAATGTCTGACCTCAGCTGGAGAGGACAACAGATCCTAACATGGAGGCGCCAGGGCAGTAAAGCCTGGTGTCTGGGGAGCGGTTGGACTTTTCTTTCTAGGAGGACAGGGAATAAGGATGGAAGGGCTCTGTCCCTTCCGGAAAAGCTTCCTTGAAGGAAGTGCTCTTCTGGAGGGAAACCAAGGGGCAGGGCATATTTCAGACACTAGGGAGGGAGGGGACCTTTGTCTTAGGCAGAGCCGCAGGAGTGGAGAGGAAGAATGGAGGGAGGTGTGCAAGTCTGGCTTGAAATGAGTTTTATTAAAAACACACCAATTATTATCTGCACATTTTTGAGGAGTGTGGAAAAAAATGGAGGAAGTTACCACCAGTGGTTTTGTGGGTTTTCAAGTATGACGTAGAAGACGTGGAGTGTTAACCCCTGTTTTTCCGGAAGTGTCTCACGTATCAGCAATTCTTTGAAATAGGCGTTCCACTCATTGGGAATCATGCTTCTCTCTGAGTACCATACACATAAACTTATCCAATACTAATAAAAAGCTATATAGTCCTACTAGGATTCTTGCATAACTGTAAAAAATGTGTTCTAAATTGGGCAGTAATGTTATATTAGAGCTCTGGAGGAGATTGTTTTATTTATTTTTTATTTTTTATTAGTGCCTGTTCTATGCTTACATTCCAGAAAGCTTGGTAGACTTCATGGTTGTTGTTCTCCTCCAAAACAGCGAAGTGTGTGAGAGTCTGGCTGCTTCTTAGAACTGTCTTTAGCTTCATTAATTCATCTAATATTATACAATTAATTCAGTGTTTGTGAACACAGGCTTATTGTCAATAAGCTGAAGTATTTTAGACCCACAGACTTTTGAATACAAAATGCCATGTTGTACATAAGTTAAAAAAGAGTCTGAGTTGTCCGGTGAAAATGTCTTAAAAATAATATTTTTGTAGGGTGTCCTTAGAATATTTCCAGAAAAGTGTAGCTTGTTGTGGGTCCTGTCCGAGTACCCAGCTTTAACTGAACAAAAGTCTTCCGAGTTCACAGTTGGCTCCACCTGAAAGTCTGGTTCAGAATTTCCCTGTGATCCTAGCTCTTGCAGAAGGGAAGTTTTCGCTTTGTTTAGGGTAAGGAGAGCTGCAAGACTCCAGGCCATAAACGTGTTCACCTAAAACCCCAGACAGTGTCTCTTAGACTGGAGTCTTGTCAGGGAGACCTGATTCGCCTCTAATTAAAGAGAGATTCTGAGGGGAGGAAAGAGCAGCCTACATTTCTTACTGTGCAGGTCCGGGTTTGCTGAATCCGAAGTTACTCCCACAGGAACACGTCCCCGGAATGAATGACCGCCCAGTGTTTAACATAATGATCAGACAAAGTTTCCCCAAGATTCTTACCGCCTCCTTCCTTTAGGAGAAAAGCAAAGTGAGGAACGGCTGTGCTCATTTCTCCTCTGAGTGCGAACGCTCAGAAATGACATCACGCGACCTAAAGAGCCCAGGATGACTAAGGCAGAGAGATCTTGAGAAAACGCTGCTGCTTCTCAGTTTTAGGGCACATTTATGCAGATGATCACAGGAGAGCTGGGTCCGCCTTCTTCCTCCGAGGAAGTTTCCTGTAGCTCACTGACACCTCATCCAGCCAGGGGGTGTAGACTTGGCCCCAGAGTCCTCCGGGCAGGCAGAGCACCACGGTGATTTGTCCTCCCGGTGGGGCGAGTTGGAAGGAAGGAGTCGCATCAGATAATGAAGGAGCAAGGGGGCACCTTCAGCAGCACTGGGCTTGGTGGCAGTGGCGGCGTGGACTCTGTTGTGGACAGCCGGAAGCCGCTGCAGCCTGACTACATGCCTGTGTGTTTGTTTGCAGAAGAACCGTATCAAAAGTTAGCAATGGAGACGCTGGAGGAGCTGGACTGGTGCTTAGATCAGCTAGAGACTATCCAGACCTACCGCTCCGTCAGTGAGATGGCTTCCAACAAGGTAAGCGACGCTGCCGCCCGCGGAGGGGACCTGGTCCCTGCTGCAGAGGTGTGGGCCCGGGAACAGGACTGCTCCCCAGGGCTGCACAGCTGCTGTCTCAGTGCTGCAGCAGCCGTGCAGTGCCCCGCCAGCTTTAACTTCCAGGAAACAAACTTATCTTAGTTGATACTGTTCGGATACATTAAAGCTGAAAGATTTCTATGAAGCTTCCAAATCACTACACAAGTGAAAATACTGGGTGGTTTTTATTTTTTCTTTTTACAATGGTCAAAAATCTAAGATCTGGATGGGGTAAAAAAATGTATAGCATCGTCACACTACAATGAGATGTTACACACATATCTTCAACAAGGAAATAATTCGACCTGCTTATATCAGTGAGAAAAGAAATGGTTGCCTTCCAGTTTGACAAATTCCTTCCAAGAAGGACATTTGGGGACTTTCTACCATTTCTTTTGTGATGCTGGCGTGACCTAAGATAAAAAAGAAACAATATACTTTCCAGAGACAGAAAGTTATTTTTTCTGAAGTTTGCTAGTTTTCAAAAGGAAATTCAATTCTAAACCATGCTATAAGAAAAAAATAAAGGTTTTATTTGCAATATCTAGACAAAACTTATTTGTGCAAAGCTTTAATTATCTAGCATTATATCATTTGTTTAATTAACGCCTAGACTTGGCGTTCTAATTTATGCAAGTTATATAGTGAGGGTTGTTGGCTGTTGTTTTTTGTTTGTACTTTTTCCTCAAAGAAAGTAACTGCATCTATCACATATATAGTGAGGGTTATGGAGTTTCATAAATATAAATGTCATGCTTTGATGAAAGGCCTTGACCCTATCCAGTGGTGGTTAACCTACAGCATGTGTGTTATTTGGTTTTCTTTTAAGACAAAGATGTTAGTGTATGAGTTATTTTTTCTAAACTAAAACCTCAGCGTTTGGGTTTAATTGCAGTGTTGGCACTCGGTGATGAATACGTGGTTTGGGGTGCATTGTGGGCGCTCGTCTCTGAAAGGTTCGCCCTCACTGCCCTGGACCCTCGGAGAGCACATTTCAGGCTTCCCGGCCAGTCTAGCCGAGGCACTGTCCGATCGTCTGTTCCTGAGGCTGGAGAAAGATTCGCTGAACACCTGCCAGGAAGCCTTTGCCAGCTGAGGGCCCCAGGGAACCCCCTCCTCCTTTCCTGGGGTACAAAAGTGTCCATTTTGGGTCCAGGCTGTCTGGTCCCCATTCAGAGGACCCAAACAGAGAAAGAAGCAGAGTATCCTTAGGAGATTCTAAAAGCTGGTGGGATCAGAAGGGGACTCTTTCACTGTGGAGCTCTTTGTTTATCGATGGATGAAAGGGGAGAAATAAGGCCCTTACTGAAATTTTTGTTCAGAGCTCAAGTTAGTGGGGTGGAACTGTGAACAGGATACACCGAAGTTTAAATATCATTTACTGATTTCTCTGAAACTCTCTGTGGAGGACTAAATTCTGGGACTTTCCAGGCTGGTGTAAAACCTAACTAGCTGCTTCCCCATGAGGGGCCTGACCTGCGTAACTTCTCCAATCACACCAGGCCTCCATGTAGGACTTTCACACGTGGTCAGCCTGCTCAGGAACATCAGCAGAATCCCTGGGCTCTGGGTTCTGATCACTGATACCCGGGTGACATGGAGATCCGGTGTTTGGGGTCATTTCTCAGAAGGTCTCACCCCTGCTGGCATGGTGAGCCGCAGGAGTCACCAAGCTAAAGCAGGAAGCCACCTGCAGGAGGAGAAAAAAAAAACACAAGTCACAACTACTTCTTCATCTTGAGTGTTGAGCTGCCCAGGCGCTCTGACCGCGTTTGTGTCTGGGATGCTGACGCTGGACCTGGCCTGTCTTTCAAACGTTTTGTAATCATTTCATGTTCAGCATAGTAGCAGATTAGGCCCTGACACCCGACACTGTGTAGGTCCTGGTGAGGACTCCGGTCCCTCAGGCTTCTGCTTCTCCTTGATGCTGTTGTGTTCAGGAAGCAACGATGGGGGAACAGAGCTCACCCTCAAGAAAGGAGAGCCTCTGGTGCTGACAGTTAGCTTCAGTAGGAGGTTGGGGCCCACCTACTTCCAAGATCTAAGGCTGAAAGGTTGTAGGGCAAAGCAATTATCCAGGGGAAGAAGGACGCCCACCTGACAGCAGAAGGCAATGTTGATAAAAAAAAAAAAAAAAAGAAAAGATCTTTACGTTGCTCTCTGCTTTTCATCTTCACCATTCAGACAGTTGTTTTGGGTAGAGCTTAAGCATAATGTAAACCGTGGCTAGCATGATATAATGCAATAGAAGATGTGTTTGTTGTTACCAAAAGGAAGTTTGATCTATTCAAGTTTTGGGGGTATTCTAGTGTTGCGTTGCCTTTGAGAAGAGTAAACCACATTCCATCTTGAAGGTTGTCTCAATGATATAAGGTTCCCATCCATGTTGCTGCTTTAAAAATCACCCTCACTGTCACTGTCATCACTCTGTAGTTGTACGTGGTCTTATTTTGCTTACTGTCGCTGATCAAAGGAACCACAGCAAACCTGAGTTACGGAGCCGGAGATGAGTGTGAAGATGTTTTATAGAGGGAGAACAGGAAGAGTAGGGATGTAGTGGTAGCAAATCATGCTCCAAGAAGGTCTGCACCATTGACTGACCGCTGGACTTGGGCCAACTCACCTGCTCCGTTTCCGTACCCAGGAAACAGGGATGAAAGCAGTGCCTACCTCAGGTTGCTGTGTGTTGGAAACAGTGCACGTACAGCACTTAGCAAGGCACCTCGTGAAGAGTGTAAATCCAGTAGAGGATCACTCAGCAGTAGCATCTCCAAGTTTTGAAGAAAAAAAAAGTCTGTGTCCCTGCTTCTGTTTCTGCTAAGTGACCACTGAGCCGTTTCCACTGCCTGGCCTAAGAGTGTGCAAGGCAGGAGCCAGTGTCATACTTGGGTACCTGTAGGTGACCTGTGCCAGTCCACATGCACATGATGGGGAGCTGAGTCTGGGGAGGAAAAATAAGTGGTCCTTCCTGCTCATCTCATCTGGGCAGGGCTGTGGTTTGACTTTATTTTTCATTTACTGGATTATTTCCCTTAACTCTTTTATAGCCTGAGGGAGAGCAAGTGGCTCAAAGATTGCTTCTGTTTGTTTGTTTTTTGAGATAGGGTCTTGCTATTGTAGTTCAGATGAGCCTTGAACTCACTATGGAGCCCAAGCTGGCCTCAGACTCTCAGAGATCCTCCTGCCTCAGCATTCCAAGCTCTGGGTTTACAGGCGTGCACCACCATGCCAAGAATCAAAGATTGTAATTAACTTTCCCAAGTGTACTTCAGGGCCCAGGGAGTTGAAACACTATTTCTGTGACTTATAAAAGCATAGTCTTCTCCTTTGTCTGTAGTCTTCTTGACCCCTTAATGCCAGCCCCAGGTCAAACAGAACTGCGGAACGTGAGAGAAAGTTGCAGCCAGGTGTGTTCTTGCTGCACATCGTTTTCTCCAAAATGTGACAGGAAGAGGAGTAAGGTGGGGCAGAGTTTTACAAGGCAGTGGCATTGTTTTGCACCATGGGAGGGAGGTCTGTGCGCCCTGTGCCAGCACCCGACTTCGGCGAGACGTGTAGAGTGGTTCTGCTCAGTGGCAGGGCACCACGGCCTTTGACCAGCTTGCTAATTTCTGTGTTTCAACTTTCATCACCTCCGGCATTAGAAGAATTGAAAAGGCACCGGAGCATGAGCTGCTCTGTGGCAAAACAGTCCCGTGTTTTGAAAACAGGATGCTTGGGCTCTGCAATATAAAAAAGAGGAACGGAAAGAGAAACGGTAGGGAGAGGAAGAAAGCAAACAGCTCAGCAGGATCTCTGGCTAGTGGCGCATGAACAGTGACCTGGCCCTCTGACCTTCACTGTGGCTCAGTTCCTGACCCGGTGTCACCAGAGCCAGCCGACGTCACTGGCGGAGGAGAGGAGGAATGGCACAGCTGCTGAGAGGGGACTAGAATTTCCTGTCCCCTTCCGGGAGGGGCCAGTGGGAAAGTACAGGGTTGCAGCAATAGCGGCTGAGGGAGGCCGGCCGGACAGTGGCAGGGAGGTGAGGTTGGGACAGACAGACGAGGAGCCGGGGATGCTGCGCCTGCTTTTATGCAGAAGCATGGCTCCCTCCTAGGACTTTTGGGTGAAACAAAAATGTCAAAGGGGTCACAGGTACTCTGCAGGTCGGAGGTTTGTCAGAGTAACACGCCGTGATCGTCAATAAGAAGCTGTGATTGGTAACTTCTCCCTGTCCTAACTCTCCCTGAAATGCCCTCCTCTGAACCTTTCTCTCTCCACCAGCTGTGCCCTGGGACAATTTTCTATTCAGGATGAAGCTCTGGGCCTCCTTGGGACAGTGAATGTGCTGTTCTTACCATTTTCTGTAGAATGCAGCACCAGGCCTGAGCCCTTCTGTAAACATATGCTGAGGAAACCTACAGGACAGGGAGGCCTGCTGGCCTTTCTGAAGGGCACCATCCCTGGGGACGTCAGTCCTGGCCCTACAGGTTTCCTTTTCCAGTTTTTCAGGAGCAGCTGTGCCAGAGTGCTGTATACTGAGCTTGGAGACAGCCACTCGCCTGTGCTCTTGGATGGGACAGAAGAGAGCCCCACAGTACCACCAGCCAGCCTGGAGCCACTTGGAAACCAGGCTTCTGGACACAGGACAGCAGTGGCGAAGGGCTGCATGTCCCACTGTGAGGAGAGCTGTTTTCCATATTACAGGACAGTCAGAAACTAGGGGATAGTTTGGATCCAGCAGATCCTAAAGGAAGTAGACCTTATGGCCAACAGATTCATCTCACCATTCCATTAGTCCATAGTAGGCAGGAGACTGATAGTTGTAAAGGATTAATGCCACACTGGCCCAAATCTCCAAGATAATTATTAGAGCAGTGCCCCCTGGCACGGTTAGCTCATGAAGGGTCCTTTTCCTGGGCTGCTTAGAGAGCCTGAGAGCACTGTCTTCCGCTGCC